AACCACAGTCAACTACATGGGATTCCAGCAACATAGCCATTATGCTAACTGCTAGTCCCAAAAAACAATTTTTTAAAAAAGAAGTCATCATCCATGGAGTCCGGTGGTGGTGTAACAATAATGCAGCTGGACCCATGTGACAAAGATCCTGAGTTCTCATCCCGAGACCTCCTCGAGCTTGCTGGCCTGAGACCAGGCTGGATCGTATCCTGAAGACCCAGTTGGGGTTGCTTTGCCCTCTCTCTCTGTCTCTTTTTATCTCTCTCAGTAAATCAATAAACTTAAAAAGAAGGAGAAGGAGAAGTAGTAGTAGTAGTAGTAATCCGCTGTTTCTCACTCTCCAGTTCAGATTTTCTTGATGTTCAGAACAGTCCGTTTCCAAAGGATAACTCTTGAGAAAAAGGGTTTCTCATTTTTAAAAGGTCATGAGATTTTACCGGAGTTCATAGACATAACCATGACCCCGGGCAGGCTGGAGGCTGGGAGGGGACCATGACCCCGGGCAGGCTGGAGGCTGGGAGGGGACCATGGCATCAAGACAAAGCTAAGGGCACTGTCTTTCTCTCTCTCCCTTTCTCTCTCTTTCTCTCTCGTTTTCTCTACTCTGTTCCTCTCACATGAAAGAAGGAAGGAAGGAAGGAAGGAAAAGGAAGGAAGGAAGGAAGGAAAAGGAAGGAAAAAAGAAGAGAAAGAGAGAGAGAGAGAGAAAGAAACTTAAAAAAAATTTTTTAGCATTTGGCCTGAGAATGGATGCTGAAACATGAGGAAGTGGTGTCCAGGAAGGGAATGTGGAGAGTTCTGAGCAAGTAAGGTAGAAATGGCAGTGTGGGAAGCTAGAAGAGGCTGGTTTAGATGGAAGCCCATCACTAGGGTTACTGGGGAAGCCGCAAGAGAGATGTCGGGGAGTTCGAGGGATGCTGGGACTGTGGACCTCAGAGAAAAGCCATTGTTTGTTTTCTCATTTAATGTAATGTTTAAAAACATTACATTTGAATCCTGGACAAATAGTAATTTTCACATACAGTTTACTCTGAGAGAGGGAGGTCTCTGTAAATTTAGTCTGAAAAACTTTAGGGTTAACAAAAGCAGTGAAATTACAGTAATTTTTTTTCATTGCCAGAGGGCATATGTACTCACTAGAGAGAACCCCTAATGGGATGTGGTCACACCGCAAACTTAATTTCCCCATTTCTCTATCCTGTCAGGATTTGGGGCGCACACACACGCACACACACACACACACACACACACACACACACACAGGTGTCTCGTGTATTCTTCAAGCCTCCAGGGCTGGGATTCAGACTGTAGTCGGCCATGTGGGACCTGGCTCTCTCAACCGCTGAGCTGGGGGGCCAGCTCTATAGTGATGTTCCAGATCAGTAGTAGCAGGCATCTGTCTCATCTTTGTCAGCTTTTTTGTTTGTTTATAGTCTGCGTTACTTTAATATTTTGTTCTTTCATGCAGGTATTTGCCTTTGATTATTGCTTTTGGTCCATGGATGAATCTAACACGACAAAATATGCTGGTAAGTTGATCCAGACTTGACACTTGGGCTCGCTGCTCGCTTCTCCCCTGCCACCTGTCTTCCTTAGTTATTCTCGAGCTTTGCTTTGCCCGTGTAATTCCCGCTCATTCTTTCTGATCCTCGCTCATCACGGATTTTGCAGTCAGTAAGATTTTGTTTCAAAAATCCAGCTCTGCCACTTTTTGCTGAGAAATGTTGGATTTCTTTCTTTCTTTCATCTTTTTTTTTTTTTTAAGTTTCAAGTTCTTTACCACTCCAAGGGGGTATTAGTGTCTTCGGAGATGTGCCAAGGCCGAGAGATAAAGGGGAAGCACCTTGCGCCATTAGTGTGCTGTGATCATACATGAAGAAGAGGTTTTGTCACCATGCCCTTCCTGTCCCTGACATTCACGGGTGCTGTTGGTGTCTAGGACCGGCTCAGATTCCTAGTGTCCTGAGCAATCAGCTGTCATGTGTTCTTGGGGAAATGGGGCTCCCAACCTCACATTTTGCTAGCTTTCTGTCCTTGAGGTATTCCATCCCCATTCCATCCAACACAAATGACTGCCGTCTCATTACGTATGATCTGAGTGAATCTCAGCCCTTCGTGGGGTCAGTCACTGCTCCTTTAGTTCAGGAGAGACGCGTTTATTTTAATGGAGAAAGTCCTCGACTCCCTTCTGATTATGTTAGACATTTCATTGTTTAAAAAATATGTTGTGGGACCAGCATATGGCATAATGGTTATGTCGTTGGACTCCCACGTAGTTGCCCGTAGTTTGAGTCCTGGACCTGGCAGGGTGCCCAAAATCCCAAGAGGAGAATGGAGAAGGGATTGGGTGATTTCTTGCTTTTTGTCTCTGTTTCCCTGGTGAGCGCATGTGCCATAAAATCTCAAAAATCTCTCTCAAAAAATATTACGATATAGGTGTATGTTGTAGAATGGCTAACTCCAACTAATCACATACGCATGACCTCACATACCTTTTTTACCCTTAAAATTTACTCCCTGAGCAATTTTCAAGAATATAGTAGGTTGTTATTTTTTAAGATTTATTTATTTTTACTTTTAATTATTTTCATTAGTCTTCACTTTTGCCATAGGGCGGGCGCCACCATGCCCCCATTAGTCTTCACTTTTGACCAGAGAGAGAGAAAGAGAGAGTGAGGAAGTGAGCCACCATGCCCGACAGGTGGGAGTCCAGTGTCTCAACCACCACGCCACCTGCTGGCCCCCAGAAAGTTGTTATTAACTGTAGTCACCATGTTATACAGTGTATCTCTTGAATCAGATAATTCATCCTAATAAGTTAATTATTATCTCTACTTATGAGAGCATCAGCCAAATGATTTTCTTATTTAGTTAAAAACAAGAATGAAGGAGGAGAAGTAGGTTTAAAAAAACATTTGGGGAACCTGCAGTTAGCATAATGGCTATGTCGCTGGACTCCCACGTAGTCAACCGCGGTTCGTGTCCCGGACCCGGTGGCTTAAAACTCACGCCGGGCGCGTGTGCGTGCGTGCCCAAGATCCCGAGAGGAGAATGGAGGAGAAGGGATTGCGGCATGACCATCCCCCCTGGGGGTGATTTCTCGCTTTCTGTCTCTATGTCTCTCTCTGTCTGTCTGGCGAGTGCACGCGCCCTACAGTGAAAATCTCTCAAAAAAACAAAAACAAAACAAAAACAAAAACATTTGGAGGTAGGAGCCAGCAGGTGGTGCAGCACTAGATTCCCATATGGTTGACCACGATTCAAGTCTCGAACCTTGCAGCCTGAAACTCACACTGTGTGTGTGTGTGTGTGCCCAAAATTCCAAGAGGAGAATGGTGAAGCGATTACGTCATGGCTATCCCCCATGGGGGGTGCTGTCTTGCTTTCTGTCTCTCTGTGTACTATCTCTCCGTTTTACCTTTGACTAGGTAGTTATGTTTGGACTTTGGAATGGAAAGCCCAGGTTTGCCTCTCAGGACCTCAGCTTTGGCTCCCTTGCTCAGTTTTCTTCCCTGCTCGGGGCTACAGTTCCTGGTCTTCCAAAGAAAATGCTAGTGCTGTGTCATTTGGCCATTGTGAGGGTTCTCAGTGACGATGTGCTGACGAGTGGGAGGGGCCTGAAACTGACACTCCCTGCTTTTCTGTAGGGAAGAGTCAGGAGTGGGGTGAGGGTGGTCGTTCTGGTCTCAGCAGAAGGTGCATCTTGGGGAACACTGTGAAGACCTGTTATGTGTGTCAAGGGAGGCCAGATATTAGGAGATTCCGGGCCTACCTCATGGCCTAGGTGGTAAGGGAGCCAGATCTCATATGGCCAGCTATATGGTTCGAATCCCAGACCTGGCACCTTGAGAAACATACCAAGTGTGTGTGCGTACATGTGTGCCTAAGATCCCCAAAAGAGAGAGAAGTGAGGAAGGAATTGCAGTGTGATGACACCTCATGGAGTGTGATTTCTCCCTTTCCCTCTCCCCTGTTTTTGCGGCTTTCTCTGGCAAGTACACATGCCCTCTGGCAAATTAGAAAAAGAAAAGAATATTCTAAAAGTTAAACTAAGAAATCTAGACTCTGGTGAAAAATAGGGGCCATTGGATAGTGATGTGCTAAAAGAATGCTTAAGAAACATTGTTCTTCTCTTTTCTTCTGGAGTCAGTCCTCTGTCACTGTCCAAAGACATCACTCTTACTTTCCACTGTATAAATGTCCCTGGAAAAAAAATGACGTCATTAAGTTCAGATGATAAATTTCAGTTGTAAAACTCAAGATTTATGTTACCCTTCCTTACAAATGTTCCTCATGTGTTCAATAGTATTGAAAAAGTCAGCTGGAGGTGTAGTGGTTAAGGCCACTGGATCCCATATGGCTGGCTGTGTCGTTCAAGTCCTCGACTGGTAACTTGAAAACACACCAGGTGTATGTACATGCGTGTTCCAAATCCCAAGAGAATGGAGAAGGGATTGTGGCATGGCCATGCCCCAAGGGGATTCCTTCTCACTTACTATCTCTCTCTGTCTCTATCTCTGGTGTGCACATGCCCTGTACCAAATTAAAAAAAAAAAAAGATAAAATGATTTTTTTAGAATTGTTTTATTTAACTTTATTTATTTGTTTGTTTATTTTAATTTGGCCAGAGAGAGGAGAGAAAACAAGTTGCTAGGTCTGGGACTTGAACTGTGGTCGGCCATGTAGTAGTCCAGTGCCCTTAACCACCACACAACCTGCCAGCCCCCAATAAGACTGTAAAATACAAACAACCTAAAATCAATTAAACTTTAGCTTGCATGATCACATTGAGTAACATTTCCCAATTATTCCTGAAATGAGATTCCTCTGGCTCATACTGCAATGACTATGTACAAAATAATAATAATAATAATAATAATTGGAGGGAGGAGTGGATTTTCATATTCTTTAAGTATACCATTATTTACAATCCTTCCCTCCCTTAGCCAAAGGTAAAATTCTTTCTTCCTTTCAGGTGTTCATCCACTATAAATAATCTGTCTAGAAATCACATGACTAGTAGATTAGTTGATTGGTTTCCATACTAATTTGATTTCTTTTATCTTCTTTGGGGTAAAAAAAAAAACCTCCTTCTTGGTTGTGAATGGAAACATTAAGAGCAGCATTCATTCTCTGGTGGGAAGAGGAGGAAATGGAGAGGAGAGTACGGATTTCCTGAACCAACCTATTTGTCAGGCTCCGTGAATAATGGCATCATTGATGCTGCGTTGGGGCTCTCAGCTCTCAGGACGGGGGTGGTGGGAGAGGGGAGGGCGGGAGACAAGTGCAGGGACCGAGAAAGCAGAGACAGCGAGGCTGTGCGTTTCACATGCCAGGTCGGAACGGTTTTGCCGTTTCCTAAGAGCTGTGGCGAGCGCCTCCCCTCGCAGGCTTCCTGATCTAGAAACCTAATTCTCCAGTGCGTACAGTGGCATCGCAGTGGGCTGGCTGGAGTTGTGGAAGAATGTGGGCTCTTAAATCAGATTGCCTCGGTTCAAATCCTGGCACCGCCACCTACCGTCTCTGTAGGGCCTCGTGAACCAGCGAGTCCCACTCCACTCTGTCTGCCCAGAATGGTGAAGCGATTACGTCATGGCTATCCCCCATGGGGGGTGCTGTCTTGCTTTCTGTCTCTCTGTGTACTATCTCTCCGTTTTACCTTTGACTAGGTAGTTATGTTTGGACTTTGGAATGGAAAGCCCAGGTTTGCCTCTCAGGACCTCAGCTTTGGCTCCCTTGCTCAGTTTTCTTCCCTGCTCGGGGCTACAGTTCCTGGTCTTCCAAAGAAAATGCTAGTGCTGTGTCATTTGGCCATTGTGAGGGTTCTCAGTGACGATGTGCTGACGAGTGGGAGGGGCCTGAAACTGACACTCCCTGCTTTTCTGTAGGGAAGAGTCAGGAGTGGGGTGAGGATGGTCGTTCTGGTCTCAGCAGAAGGTGCATCTTGGGGAACACTGTGAAGACCTGTTATGTGTGTCAAGGGAGGCCAGATATTAGGAGATTCCGGGCCTACCTCATGGCCTAGGTGGTAAGGGAGCCAGATCTCATATGGCCAGCTATATGGTTCGAATCCCAGACCTGGCACCTTGAGAAACATACCAAGTGTGTGTGCGTACATGTGTGCCTAAGATCCCCAAAAGAGAGAGAAGTGAGAAAGGAATTGCGGTGTGATGACACCTCATGGAGTGTGATTTCTCCCTTTCCCTCTCCCCTGTTTTTGCGGCTTTCTCTGGCAAGTACACATGCCCTCTGGCAAATTAGAAAAAGAAAAGAATATTCTAAAAGTTAAACTAAGAAATCTAGACTCTGGTGAAAAATAGGGGCCATTGGATAGTGATGTGCTAAAAGAATGCTTAAGAAACATTGTTCTTCTCTTTTCTTCTGGAGTCAGTCCTCTGTCACTGTCCAAAGACATCACTCTTACTTTCCACTGTATAAATGTCCCTGGAAAAAAAATGACGTCATTAAGTTCAGATGATAAATTTCAGTTGTAAAACTCAAGATTTATGTTACCCTTCCTTACAAATGT